AGCTGTAAACAGGCCCTACTGCGTCTTCTCTCTATTCATGTATTTGCCACGGTTCATAATACATAATGAATCTCTGTCAGAGATTTCCACGTGGAAACGGACATTGTCTGTATTATATTTTAAACAAATTGTATTTATATATATGAAACAGATATTTCGATTATTTTCGTTATTAATATAAGTAGATGTAATTTTTTAATATATTTATAAGGTGCCTTCAACTTTTTTACATATAATTCTATATTTTTTTTTTATTGCTGCGAAAAGAAAATAGATTTAAGAAAAGAGAGAATATCTAGTTTGAGTATCTTTTAAATTTGTATCATTTATAATATATTATTCAGCATACTGTTTTAGAAATGGATTTATCACATCAAAACAAATTGTTATTGAGTTTAAATGTTATAGAATTTAAAGTTCACTGAAATTTTATATATATGATTTCATTATTGAATGTTGTCAGCAACATTACTATTTCATAGTTGGTAGCTATTTGTTTCTCTTCGATACACGTATTTCAAATGTTTTATAAACAGATACGCGCAATCACGTATAATCAAATATATTCATTCAGCTAAACCCGTATATTTTATTTATTGTTTTCCACTGCCCAGTCAACATTAAATATTGAATTAAATTATTTGCAACATCAGAACAAGAACAGAGTAAGAGAAAAAATAAAACGAAACTTTCGAATATTTATTAAAACAAGAATATGAAGTGATTCCAGAATGAAATTGATAAAGCAACTTTTTTATCTTCTTCCAAACGAGTCAAGATTATTTATTCAAAGTATTCAATAAACCTTGCTTCCACTTCCTCGTTAACCCAGGATCTTTATTTAATGAATCGCCCATTGAGAATCTTTTTTTCACAAATCAGAATCAGATCACCGACTTTCATGGTAAAATCTCCAAATCTGCAGGATCAATAGATAAACCAGTAAATATTTGATTTATTCTGAGGAGAAATTATGAAATAGGACTCGGTGAATGTGAGATTCATTTCGCAGTTTCATCGTTCAAATTACAGGGAATAGCGTTGAATCACAGGGAATCGTTTCGTAATTCCCGCCAACGGATAAAAGATGTAGCACCGATCAGGCGTGGTCCTTTCACTCTCGGGGGTGTGCGATTCTTACAGAGTTCCCAGAAGAAGAATCTCTGTTTGCACTCGGGTTTTGCGGCCAAGGTCGTTGAGTCAGTGATGATTGAATTCTCGAAATCGAGAAAATCAAAAAATTAAGATGAAAGAATAAAAAATCGATTGATACCTTATAGACACCTTGTTCTCTTAAATTCATAATACATTCGCTTCGACTTTTTAATTTGTAATTTTTTAATACAGAATTTGAAATGGGAAACTGAACAACGAAATAACGTTTGATTGTTGAGAATAAACTGAAAATTCTGATATCTTGGAGATATGTTCGTTTTACGATTAAGTTCGTAATAAACGATTCTTGCTTGTCAATCATATACTCGAAAAGTATGTAAAAAAATAAAAATTCCTTTCTCATCGAAATCTTCTTACTTTCACGTCGAGTCAATTCTCTAAGAGTATACGATCCAGCCACGGAAATTATGACAGAAATAAAACAAGATGCGAGAATCTCGTGCGATAACCTTTCGGCTCTGATCTTTCACTTAATTTCACACGGAACGATCTTAAATTGGAAGCGATTCGGACAGTGTATCGAGTTGGAACGGAACAGTAGGCTGCTCTGCTCTCATAAGAATCCCGATGCATTGCTCCCGGCGCAGACAATGACTGCAAATGTCAGTCCCACCATTAGCATTGATCACGTTCAATCCCATTCCTTCTATCCACCGAGGATACAAATTTCAAGAGCCACGATTGAAATCTGTCAATCTATTCGGAATTGATATAGTTTCTATAGCACATAAGTTGACACTGGCGATCGTTATCTGATAATTCTATTCTCAGTAGTACATGTTTAACTGATATAGAAGAAGAAAGAGAAAAAAATACTTTGATATGCGCAATGAATTCGCATTAATATTCGGATGTAGCTTTTATTCTTTTTGATTGAATTTTTTAGAGTTAATTAAAAAGTATTAAAGTTGTAGAGGATAGAAACGAATTTTAATCATTTAATCATTTAACAAGGAATAATTTTTCGCGTATAAATAAACGCATTAATTAATAGGGAAATTTGCATGGCAAAAATTTCCAAGCGATAAACAAGTTACGTAAATTTTATATTTACGTTTACGAGTATTGCACACTAGTGACAGAATAAGTTGAATACAATAGCTTACACAACCGGTATTTTTGTAATATTAAATTTCATTATTTATCGCTTATCGTGAGAAAAATGCATTAAATAAATCTGCATCGTATAAAATGTATATTTCTACCTACTGCGGCTGAGTTTGTTTAAATATATTGAAATATATTGAATAAATTCATCGACGATTTTAATTCATCATTCAAATAATCGTAATTAATTAGAAACGAATTAAATTCAAAGAATTTTCAATCTCATTTAAAATGCTCGACTATTATTAGAATATTCCTTAACGTTTACAAACAGAAAGAGGAGGGGGAACAATTAGCATCGAAACGTTCTCTGTGAGCCTAGTTGGGCCAATCTTAACAACAATAAACAGAAGCGTCGATACAGTTTCACACGGTTCTCCGCGGAAACCTGTGCGATAATGGAACGCCTCTGGTAATCGAAGAATCAAACGGCGAATCGAGCGTTTCATTGTGCGCGGAAGCATCGTGGCCTGCGGACCGATTCGAGGGTGGACCAATTCGTGGGTAACGCGAACCGTGTATCGATCCGCCATTGCGATAATTGGAGCAACGAAGATCGCATCTTTTTCCTCGGCCACCATCCAATAAAGGTCACGTTCGCGACTCGACGCGCTCTCGTCCCGGCATACAGCGAAGGAAAAACCGTATTAATCCCTGAGAACGTGACTCTTTCTCACCCATAATGTTACTCGACTCGTTGCCAATCGATTGCCTCACCGAGGATGACGCCGTTATCCACCCACGATTTTTCGACAGACGAGAGACGAACGATTTTGTTCTCGATTTTAATTGTATGAGTGATATGAAAAAGATCGATTTATTCCATTTTAACTGTTTCATCGTTCATCGGCTCAACAAGAAAGTAAGAAAAGTAATTGGAATTTTCATTCAAGAAAATTCAAATGGCATTGCTAATGGCATGCATCCAGATACGATGTAATTACGAAGACATCTAGGCATCGATTATTAAAGGATGAATTATAAGAGTTATTCGAAGAATTTGAAGAGGCGATACGAGTTTGATAGATGCGACAGGGTGTTTCGCAAAATCTCGTTATTCCTTAATTTACGGTGTTGGTATGGGGCAAAGGGGAGTGCAAAGGACTAATTGACGCAATAAGTCGATAATTACGAGGGACAACGTTGGAAACGCTTGAAACATTCAGGCCAATTATACCGTAGGTCGAAGATCACGCCTGCTCGGTTACCTGTTATTCGTCCCCTTTATCGCCGGAGAAATCGAAAATTACGCTAATTACATCTCTTTTACGTCCGTCTAATCGATTCCTTTGTTCCGTACGCAAGGCGGTATCAACCACTGTCATTTATTCTCGCCGAGGAGAGTACGTTTTTCCTCTCGTATTTTTTCTTTTTTTTTTTTCTCTTTGGTGCAATCCTCGAATATATACAGTGAGAAAAGTATTTGCATTGTATTGTAATTCGATAAAATTTATCGTAAATTACGCGAAATTGTAATAATTTATTCCAAGCTATCATTATACTCCGTGTTTTGTACGAATATTTTTTGCAATATGATTCAATTAATGTATTATTTTTATTACTCTATAACTCTCTTCCAATAAATTCGTATAAACGAAATTCTAATATAATAATTGATAAGAAATTTATTATATTTGCATCTAATCAATACGTTTCGTCACTGTATAAATTCCACTAAAATTAAATTTCTTATAATTTAGATTTTTATGGACACGTTCCTTAACTCCGTTTCTCTTCGGCGTCGTTTAATGAAAATCGATCGAATGTTTTGCAAGCGTGGAAGCTGCGAATCGCAACGATTTCGAGATTACCGGGGACGAAAACGTTCCCATGAATAGCCAGGAGAAACGCCCGATCCCATTATACCGCGCAACGAAACGATCGAACTTTGCCCGTTCGGCACAAAGCGGGACTCGAGGCGAATACCGAAAGTTCCATTTTGACGAAAGACGGCCTTTCTGCATAACTTTACCGAGTTCCGCCCTGTAAAAAGAGATCGATGACGGGCGGTACACGATAAATCTATTCCATCAGCAACGTTAAACGTAGTAGGGACGGACGTTTTGTCGTAAATCGATCGATCCACGAAATCAATCTTCGTCCGTTTATTACTCGGTCGCTTCAAAGGATGCACAAATTTTTTTTTTTTTTTTTTTACCTATTTTTTTGTTTCTTGGGAGAACGTTTCACTTTGAAAGACTTGGAAAATAAAAATTTTACTCGTTTACGAATGGAAAGGAAAGGAATCGAAGCGAGATTATGGATTATATTTTATTCTTCGAATTACGAACTGTCATTACGTTTTCATTTACGATCTATTCAACGAAAGGGATTTTTCTCCAAAACATTGGAAACCCGAATCTCAGATTGATAGCAAACCAATTCGTGAAATGGCACAGCTTTGCATACAAGAGTAAATAAAATAGAATACATTTTCGATAAAATAGAATACATTTATTCGTCGAATTCCATCAGAAGATGAAACAAGAAAGGAGCATCGATGAAGAAAAAACGGTGAAAAATGGGACGAATTCCGAGTGGAGGTTTCGCAATTCTGGTTGAAGGTCAGCCAAGGGGGCCCGTGTCCCAAGGGTGGGTGTGCCGGATGCTGACCTTCTTGCACAATGGCTGAGGCTGCACCATCAGCGGATATGATTTGAAGGGATCAAATAGGAGGCGCGGTCGGGCATCCTAGAACGGTATATAAAGTCGGATCAAATCGTTCGTGGGCACACTCAGCAATCGGTCGATCGGGAAGATGAAGAGCCTCGTAAGTATTCCGCGATGGAATAGTGAATTTCCCGCCATGAAAGTTCTTTCTTTGAGTCTCTGCTACCTTTCCAAGATTCTCATCGTTCGAAGTAATTTAAATTGGAGATTAATATTCCGATAGGAATTTTCTCGCGGAATTGGTAGAAGTGGTTTGGATTCCGGAACTAACGGAAGAAAGACTGACACTGGTGTGAACCTCTTACGTCGAACCTCGAAAGTCAAGCACAGATTCGATAAAAATTGACTCCTTTTTATTTCTCTAAGATTTCTGAATTAAAATTTATTTTTATATCCCTCCCAACTTGTGTTGCGTCTCTTACACAATTTATAAATTGATTATTCTCGAAGAATTATAAATATAATATTTAAAATGTTAATATAAAAATATAAATATAAATATAATATTATAAATAAATTCGATTTAACGATGAGTTAGTTTGGTTTTTGAAAGATCGATAAAAAACGATAAAAATTCAAAGAATAAATTCGATTTTGGCACTTACATTTTGGAAATTTCCAGGTGATCCTGCTATCTTTCCTCGCCTTCGTCGCAGCTGCGCCCCGTCAGCGTCGCGATGCTATTTGGGGTGGATATCACGGAGGTGGTTACGGTGGTCATCTTGGATACGCTCACGGTGTGGCGATTGCTGGTCCAGCCTTGGGACCAGCCAGTATCGCTGGTCCTCACATCGGATCTACCATGGTGGCAGCGCCGTCCATAGGACCGGCTAAGCTGTCCGGATCAGTTGCTGGACCGGTGCACGTTTCCGGTGCTGTTGCCGGCTCTGCCGTTGTCACTGCTTCCGTTGCTGGGCCTGCTCACGTTGAAGGCTACGATGCTGGTCCCTACGATGGAGGAGTCGGTGAGTGATCACATTTAATTTAAAAAATTAATTCACTTCAAGTATTTCACTCGCTTGATATTTCGACTCCTTTGAAATTTCTATTCTTCACAAATGTACAATATGAAATAAAAATCATCTTTCTCTTTCTATCCACTCCTCCTCTCCTACTAAATAAAATTGAAAAAACTCGAAACCAAAAACTCTGAGAGGTAAATTGTAAATATAACTTTTTCCATCCGTAGTATTTCTTCGAATCTAATATAAATATCGTCCATATCTATTCAGAGAATAGATAATAAATAAGTACTGCGAAATTCTCGGAAATCGATAATGCTCGTCGACAAAATTAAATATTTACCTTTTCTCTTACGAAGAAAACACGATGTGTTCCAGGTGTCGGATACGCGGGTCCGGCGTTCAGTTACGCAGGATACCCGGGAGTTGGTAGCCACGGAGCGGTGATAGCGGGTCCAGCATCTCACGGCGCGATTCTCGCAGGACCAGCATCCCATGGCGCCGTGCTTTCTGGCCCTCATTCGGGAACCGCGGCGGTATCCGGTCCCCACGCTGGATCGGTGGTGATCGCCGGCCCCTCCGGCAAAATCACTGCCCACGGGACCGGTTATGGAGCGATTCACTCTGGCCACACTGGTCATTGGTAACGAGTCCAAGTCCTGTTGGAAAGAAGAAAAGGGAAGAAAGGAGAGAGAATGAGCTTTGGAAACCTCGTCGATCGAATTGTCAAGGTATCGATATGATATCTGATCTGTTGTTTAGATTACGTTTAGATTTGTCTCGCGACGATCCCCGTTAACGAATATTATGATTTTTGTACGCATGGTCGGTTTTTATACGGTTATATATTTTATTATTATTATTATTATTATTATTATTATTTTTTAAAAAGAAATAGATAATGAATAGTTTGTAACGTACATTTTTATAGATATAATATACATATATATATACATATACGTATATTGTAAGTTTAATTCTGATCTCGTATAATAATACACACGATTTAGTTACACACGTTTAATTACGTTGTTAACTCTTCCACGCTTCTATGGTTTAATCGAGTTTTATATATATATATATATACGGCTTAACCTTTAGTTCGCTTCAAATTCGTTACTCGTTCCATTTTAACGAGCTGTGAAATAATTGATGCACGTTCTAATTTTATATAAAGCAGAGTAGGAAAGAAGAAAAAAAAAAGAAAAAAGATCCCGTATACTGTCCCGTGAATTTTGAATCTATTTCTATTTTGAATATCGATCGCATGGATTTTCATCGACTAAAAGAAGGGAAGGGAAAAATTAAAAACTTTCTCGAATAGGAGATTTAACGTTTATACATGGATCTTGCTATTACACAGGCAGATCACGAAAACGTTTTACGTTTTATCGGTTCTCGATCGTTATCGCCGTGTCGGTTCCGCTGTGTTTCACCGTGGTAAATTTGACATTTACAAGAAGCGACGATTAAGGGTAGATTGAGAGAGAGAGAAAGAGAGAGAGAGAGAGAGTACCAAAAAGATAATGCTGACACAGGTCTCGACGAGTCAGCAAACGATACGAATGATAGTGGATATAAATAAAAGTCCAAGCTACTCTTCATCATCGAATTCTTCTTTCGTCGAAAGATAATAATAGATCGATTTAACTCAACAAATACAGTATATTGTTAAAATTTTCGTATTTCGATCGTTTTCATCTACAGAAGATTGTTTTCATTATTGTCAATTTAAATTCTGATTAATTCTGATTGTTGTTGAATTAAATTTCTATCTATATAAATCGCTAGTACAATGCTAGGTTTACTCAGGTCTCTTAGCATTGCGCGTAACTAATATCATTGGCCGTAGTAAAGGGTAAGGTCGCTAGACGTGTTACTCGCGACACGGTCTGGCAATCGTGAAACAAACAGTCCGATTTCGCGACATCGTCCGGGGAAAAATCGATCTGTAGATCGATCCGCGCGCGCACACAGGTGTGCGGGCGCGGTCGATTTGAATAAGGTCGAGCTAACGAACCGCGAGACCATAATTCACAGAAGGTCGTACACGAGAATTGCGTTATCTATACGGAGTTGTTCGACGGCGCTGGCTCTATCGCGGAATCTGTACACGACAATTACCGTATGTTTCTTTTCTTTTCCTTTTTATTTTTTCTTCCTTTTTTTTTTTTTTTTTTTTTTCCCCTTTTTTTAAGGCCGATCTTCGCCACAGATCGCGCGACCATGGGGGAATATTTTTCGCCCAGCCAAGCCGTTTCATTACGTTTTTACGACGAAACAATGGCCATTCAAGTTGTTCGCTTCGAGCTACCGGCTCTCTGGAACACACGGAGGCATTTACGTTATATAAACGATCGTTTGAAGTCACGGTGAAATTCACGATGAATCCATTTGATAATTCGTTTGAAAGTTTAATCTACGAAATTCTTGTTGAAGAAGCGAAAGATTGGAGGAGTAATCGTTTGATCGAGCAATGAATTCTCATTTTAAGAAGACAGACGTAATTAATTAATCGAGTCGAAAGAAAAATATTATACGGGAATCGATAATCGATTAAATTAATCGATATAGAAGCAATACAGAAGCATGCCATAATACTTGTGCCAGGAACTTAATGTAAACCAGATCGTCTGACGACATAGAAGATTTATCACAGAGGAGAACAATCGTGAGAACAAGACCGATTTAACTACTAACCAGCCTTCATCTTCTATTCCTTTGAGAAGATTTATCGTCAGAATTGATCATTTCACGATGGCTAGGACGAATATCGAACGACTCGGTTTCCTTTGTCTTTATGGGAAAATCGTGGCGCGTCACAATCGTTTCGTCATCGATCAAGAGTCGCATCGAATTCCCGAAAAGGTCATTTCGATTGCTGGCAATGGCCACCAGGTAAATGGTTGGCACGCAACAACGCAACGATTTACAATATTCAATCGGTTTGTTTTTTTTAAATGGATCAAATAAAAACGAAGCTCTCGGCTATCCATTACGTTGATTCACGATCGAGTAGTCGTTGCTTCGCGGTATTCATGGAAAAATGGATACAGGTCGCGTGAATCGTGGCTTGTAATCATTGAGAGAGAGATAGAGAGAGAGAGAGAGAGAGAGAGAGAGAGAGAGAGAGAGAGAGAGAGGATTGCACGAATCGAACGTGAATTATTTTTCACCCCCTCCACTCGGTTTCTTTTTCCCTCCTTTTATTTTTTAACCATGGTAAATACGAATGAAAGTGCGGCAGGGTTGATATTAAATATTTTATTTCCTCGCGGTTCTCGTTTAACTATTGTACGCGATGAATTTCCTCCTCCGAGATGTAAATGATGCTCACAAAGAGAATAATTTTTTTTTTGTTTTTTTCATTTTGTCGAGATCATTTCATCGCATCAGAATATGTGTGTGTGTGTGTATATGTGTGTGTTTAAATTACGCAGGATAAATGGATTATTTATCGCAATTTCACCTCTCGCACGATGCCAGCCACCGATGGAATTAAAGAAGGGGGTAAGCGATGTGCCCTAATTTTAACTTGAAGCAATACGAGCAACGTAGTTATTCATTGCCCCCATACTTCATGTTAAAATCGTAAAACGTTGAATTACGAATGGGAGAAATATGGCCGAAGACGATGCTCATTTTACGACTTCAATAAATTATTACGCGCTTGAACGTAATCTGTTTTAAAACGTCGTGGCTTGCATTTCTCGCCGTCGAATTCTTGGGAGGGGGAGGCAAAGCAAAATTTCCAACTTCGTTTTTTTTTTTTCCGCTCGATATCGAAACATCGAATATTAAATATATCGCTTTAAAGATACATAATTTGTTATAATAAACTCGGTATTTATTTACTTTTGGAATTACGTATACTCATCTTCGAACGATTCTAATAAAGGCGAAACAACAACGACCCACAATATCCCCAATTTCTTTCTATATTTTTTTTTATATTAGAATGAAAAAAACCCGCAATGAAGCATTCACGTCGTCTCATAAATAATTCTGGCCAGATCTAAGAAGGTTTTCAACGAGAATTGAATCTGAAACAATAAGGCACGTAACGATGGGGATTTTATGGAGGAGAGCAATCGAACACCGAACATGAAAACGGTCATAAGTGCCATGATAAATCTAAGAATAGACTTTCTCCCTCTTTCTCTTTCCTTTTTTTATTTTTATATTAGATCGATCAGGAAAGTTTTTGTGTCTAACAATATAAAAATCTTCTCCCCTTTGGTGATCAAAGAATCATTTATTATAAAAAATTTAATACATTAATTAATACAACTATCCTCTCTATACGATAAAATATACATTATTACTTAAACACTGAATGAATAGAAAATTTCACTTACACGATAATATATAATTTTTAATTAATAACGTTATTACAAATAAAATTAGAAAAAAATTTCAAAATCCTTTCCCAATCTCTCTCTCTCTCTCTCCCTCTCGTCATTCCTCAACTTTAGATCGGATAGATCGCGATATATCCTGTCACGAATTACAAGCCGTCTATGATCCATGCAACCTTAACTGAGAGATCCGGATTGTTTTCGCGAAGTGTCGCGTCGTCAAGGGACGAGAGAAAGAAGGTGTGGCCGATAACGAGGTAGATACGGTTGTCTGTTTAATGCCGGAGATCGAGGAAGGCCGATCGATGAATCCTTCGACGCGCTGCTCCTCCCACATCCCCTCGCCTCTCACATCCATTGACTCGCCTATGGAATACAAAAATCATACCAAGTGGCCAAGGAGAGGGAGAACAAATGTTCGTTAGAAAAAAGAAAAAGAAGAAAGAAAGAAAGAAAGAAATCGACGTATGAACGACGCGTAGACACGGATATAGGGATATGGATCACGACGCGATCGTAGATCCTTGTTTAAACATCGAGCTCGAGACACGATCTCGCGGTGGATCGTTGGCCGAGGGGGAGGGAAATAACCGGTTATTTTTCAACGAAGGTTATTTATAAGATTTGGTAACGTAACGCCGTGTTCGTAGGTCGGAAAATCGGTCCAGGTACGGAATAAATCTTGCGCGCATGCCGCATGCTCTCTCTCTCTCTTTCTCTCTCTCTATCTCTCCCCTTGCCTCGATCGTTATTCACACCCCGATCCGCTCGACCGATGCCACCACCGTCGTGGAAATTGAGAAACGCGGCCGTTTTGTACGCGTCACAGTCTAATTCTTTCGTTTCAAACGAATGGAGGGAGGGGAGGGAGAAGGAAGAGACATTCTCGGATTTCTCCTACAACTTGTTCCAAAGTTGTGCATGATAAATATTAGAGAATTGTGCGGGAGAAAAACTTGGAAAATTCCGGATAATATTGGATTGAGTTGGATTCTCGAATATTATACATATGTATCAGTCGTACATAAGAATTTCGAAAATCTCTCTAAAATTTTCAATTTTATCGAAAACTCACTCGTTGTCAGCTCGTAAATATTCGTAACAATTCAGAAAGTTGGGGAACGCGATTCGAGTTCTTGAAATCTTGGAGATCCCATTTATATTTCCCCCAATGAATTTAACAAACAATTTCTCGCTTGCCTCCAGTTAAACTTGGCTGACTTACCTGAAAGTCGGACGAGGTGGATGGCTCCCTAATTCGACGCTATTGCGTCGGAACGAAGGATCGTGGCTCGTCCATTTCGATCGGTCCAGGTGACGCGGCAGTCACCTCTGGGGAAGAGGAAGGCCAATTTTTTGAGAATCTCGACGATCCATCGATCACGCCCCCGGCATTTCTCGGCTTCTCTATCCGGTAGAGATAGGTGGACAGTGGTGACGCGTCCCCGTGCGAACGACTGAGGCCAACGAGATTCCGAGCAGCGACTTTCCATCGGCCATCACGGAGGAACATTGGCGTGCAATGTTGATGGTAAGTGAGCTTTTATAGGCGACACACGGGAGCACGTGGGTCGGTGAACTTATCGGGGGTAAGGGCGGGGCTGTGGTGGCCTGGTGGACCGTGACGGGGTGAAAAAGCTCCTCTTGTCTCCTGTAACAACAAAGGTGTAAATAAGCAAGTGATGCAATATTGGATCGAACTGGTGACACCACACCCATGCGGGACATAATAATGATCTATCAGCGTTCAGATATTGAAATAACAATGCGTACCAGTGTTTCCCAACTTCTTCCTTTACCTATCCTTTAGGGATATACACTTTTGATGAGGTCTTTCTTTTTATATAAAAAGTAAAAGTATATTTTTAATAATAAGTTGAATAAGTTTTATTTGCAGAAAGGAGTTAAGATTAAGGTGGAAATTAAGAAAGATATCAAAGATTTTAAGTTATATGTAATCATATGTAATCGTTGACGCTTCAATTCGTTTTTTTTCTTCTTTTTTAGCTTAAACCGTTGTTCCTCTTTTGTTTTTATTCATTTATTTTCGAATCAATGTCGACTTATCAGTGTGGTTAAAAATGATTAATTGTTATTACCTGAACTTTAATTTACAATTTAATCGAAACCGACATTTCAATCAGCTTTAACTCAAAATCTGCTTGCCAATACACAACCGTCAATACAACTTCGATTAACATCGATGTTCCAATAGTTTTTATCCCGAGTATTTTCGTGTAAATTTTTTTATCACCTGCCTATTTCCAAATTGCCTGTAAATTGAAAATTACTCGGGACAAAATTGGAAAACAATATCGTGGACAAACGTTATTCGAGCATTGAGACAATGGGGATCCCGTTTCTAAAACGGTTTGATAATCCTCTTCTATCTCCCATTTCGAACTTTGTAATCGTAAACCGGTTACGCGTGTTCAACGATGCGTATTATTTCTGGCGACAAAAAGGGACACGCAATCGAAAAACAACAGCGACGCATCTGTCGGTCTGTTTCCGCTATTTTTCCACTAAATTCTCTATCCAGCCGCACTGGAAAAAGGTGCATAGTCGCGTGTAAAACTAGCCTGTGACCGTAAATCAAATATCCCTGTCCGTTCTTGATCCGTCACTCCTTTATGCACCTGTCACGCCAAGAAATATGTCCCCGTTCTCGATTCTCCCCTGGTAAACGACTGGACATCGCGTGATCTTCGATATCTGATCCCAACACCTGTCTTCCAACACCAATCTTCCAACGTACAATTTTTTTTTAAAGCTCGTAAATGGAAGCAATCGCGATTCATACCGCGATATCTCCCCTTTGAATCGAGTGAAAATTTAACATATATCATTCTCGAGGCAAAAAGAAGAAGAAGAAGAAGAAGAAGAAGAAGAAGAAGAAAATATTATAACCGGAGAGATTCAATTGGAACGAAGATGAATAAATTCATTCGAAGGTAAAAAAAAAAAAAGAAAGAAAAGGAAGCGATGATCAGATCGATTCCCTTTATAATAATAATATAAAATAATATAGAGTATAATGACAAGTTACAAAAGATTTCCTTCGCTCCGTTGAATTATTGAAAGAAGAAAAAGCAATCTTTTCAAGAAGCGGAGAGATTATTCCGAGAAAAAGATGGCTCTTTCTTTCTTCTTCCCTCGGACGAGGCATGCAATTAAATCGGTCCCCCTTAAAGGACTTGGCCACCGCCTGGGAACAATTATTCGAACAATCGCGTCGCCGGTCACCTTTACCACCATCGAAAGTGCGCGCTACGCCCAACAATGATATTCGAAACGATCCGTGGCACGAGGCTCGGTGATCCATTGCGAGGCTGGTGCCACCGTAACACACGCGTATCCGACTACAATGAGACCGTCATTCCAGGCGACAATCCAGCCGCGTGGGCAACCGAGTGCCTCGCCTAAACGGATGCACGCACAATGCGGATATAAGAAAACGAACAGCGGCCTCCCACTAGGATTTCCCCTCTTAGCTCGTGGGACGATGATGAAAAGATGAAACACGGCTCTTCTTCGACCGCGAAGGTCGCGATGACAGGTTCCTTCGACCCTGACAGGTTCGTCCTTATCCCATCGATGGGAATAATCGTCTTGCAATATTGAAAGTTTATTCGATTTAGTTGGTTCCACTATCCAATTTCCGTATCTTTTTCTCAAAAGGTACAAGCTTAAAATTTATACGTGAAATTTATAAAGATTAGTGAAATTTAAAAAGATTACTCTTCGTTAAATCGTATATCGAAGACATATCTCGTTCAAGAAACGCCGAAAAACTTGGAAACGAAGCAATTGCACATTTTTCGAAAGCACCCAGACCGTGACTACCCGCGCTCGACCCATTAAACAGTCAAAACTATCCAAACTATCTGCGTGCCGATCTTTCTGCTCGACGGAGTAGCCGTGTTCTACGCAAGGCCGCGATCTCAGAAAAAGAAATAAATTCGAAAGAAATGAAAAAATTTCAATCGCTGAAACGGATGCAACGGTTGAATTGGAGCGGGCGACCTCCGGGGGCACGGGTGGGCCGCGAGGCGTAAAGCCGTTGTCGCCGCCGACTCTCTTAATGCTGATAAGCCGCGAGAAGGAAACCGGCCACGCGCCCAGAGAATGTTCGGCGTGTCCTGTGCCCCGCCCTTGGGGGGTTGGCGGGAGCATTGGGCGGCCAGCAGTGTGTAGACAATGCCCGTATAAAAGCGGGGTCGAGCCAGCCTGATGACAGCACATCCACCCGAGCCACCGAGGCAAACTGTTCCATCAGCGAGCAAAGCAAACAGCCCTCTCAAACATGCGCACCTTCGCAGCGGTCTTCCTCGTCGCGGCCCTCTCGATGGCCGAGGCCGCCCCGTCCGGCCTTCTGGCGCCTGGAGCAGCGTTGGCCGGCCCGATCCTAGGCCCGGCTGCCCTCAGCGGCCCCGTCGCGGGCCCTGCAGCCCTCGCCGGACCCGCAGTTGGACCCGCTCGCCTCTCCGGAGCCGTGGACGGTGGAGCTGTCGTGACGGGAGCCGTCGCTGGCCCCTCCCTAGTTTCCGGTAGCGTTGCCGGCCACGCTGCACCCTGGCCGGCGGCACACTGGCCAGCCGCCCCCGCCCTCCCCTGGGGTGAGTAAAATAGGGTTTGACATTCGTTACACTTTTCTTCGTAAATTAGGGGGTTGTCCACGAGCAAAGTACCTTTCGTAAGTTTAACGTTGGACATTGTTGTAAATCGGCTAAGTTGCAGATGGGAACTTTTTCTTTAAAAACTTTAATCTTTAAAACACTTTCGCGTGTACGTGTATGTGGATGGATAAATTGAGCCTCGACACAACTAGTTGAACTCGCACGTTTCATCGATTATTTTATTCGTTATTGGAGAATTTGTTGAATCTCATCTAGGAGCCGTTCTGGCTGGACCCGCAGCACCTCCAGCAGCCCTCGCCGGCCCTATCACCGCCCCAGCATTGATCGCTGGACCGTCGGGTAGCATAGCCGCTGGGCCGGCTGGTGTGGGAAGTATCCTTCGCGCGGATGGACATTGGTAATCCCTTGCTGGACGATACGCATCTTCTCGACTGATCTCCTCCGACGCCTGCCATTTTGAAACCGACCGCGCCACGATCTCCGTCGTATACCGCTAGTACCTCCATCGCTCTATCTTTTTATATGTATAATCCGTGTACATAACGATGTATCGTTTATATGTCTATTTTATATAATAATAAACGCATGCCACTTTGGAGAGGAGCCTCGTGGATCGTCAGTTAATAGGCGACGTACCCCCCCTCTTGTCCATCGTCAATTATTCGATATTCGAAATTTCGTATTTCGGCAAGAAAGATAATTCTCGCGAAGAAATAATTTTTTCGAACGTTGCATTGTTTCGTAAATTTCAATTCATTCGCGGTTTAAAATAAGTTGGTTTAACGTGTCCTCGGTCGAAACAAAAGACCTAATGTTGTAATGAGGACAATGGCGTTCCTCAAAGTTTCGAGAAATGCCGGAAATGTTCCAACGCGGTGTAATTACGAACGCGAGGGAACAAGTTTCGGTATTGTCTTTGTTCACTCGAACAATTGGCGAGTCTAACGATATCAATCGATGAGGTAAACAAAAATATTTGGAAAATCAATTTCAAATGGAATCCAGATCGTGTGCATTATCGACGATGAAAGATTAATCTTTTTATGCGCGTTCTGATCAATATCGTACGATTAAATAACCAGTGATCCTGAAAAAAATAAAAAAAAAACCTTTATCCAAATATTTATATTCTGTTATAATTTACTTAAGATATGATTGATATTGGAGAAGAAAATTAATTTACGAGTAGATAACAATTTCGTAATTTTTCATCTAACTAACCATCAATATTTTTCACTTTTCAGGATAATAAAATAAACGACGTTCCACTACCATCTTCAATGAAAACTAAACATTCCAAATTAATTCGATGATAAATGGAAGAAATCTTGTACCAATTATAATGATTCTTGTTCTTGTACTCTAAGAGCAAATCTCCAAAATATCGCGAATCTGCAATTTTATGGAAAACTTTTCGCTCTTCGGGGATTCTCTCCGATAATTTCACGCTCAAAGGATCAAAGTAGAAGGCAGCGGTATCAGAGCGCGAGTCCCCGATTAAAGTGACAACGATCGCGGAACATTGTTCGGGTTATGGAATATCACGGTCCATGCCGTGGCGTGGTCAGCCTCCATTTCGAGGCCCATTGTGCCATCGCACCGATACCTTTGCCCGGTAATTATAGGAAATTGCTTCAACGCCGATCCAATCATCCGGGCATTCTCTTCACCGGCCCTCATTGATATACGAGAGCGGCTCGATCTCGCAAAATTCTCGCTTTAATCCTCGTTTTCAGGCACATTCGGGCCGCAGGAAATTCGAAGACGCGTCCCCTTTGCGATCCCCGTTTCCGGTATCCCCGGCGAGAGATCGGCGATGGAATTATTAACGGCCATCAACGTATCACCATTTCAAAAGGTATGCAATGTCCACAATGAGCTGCAACAAGTATTACTATTATATATTCGATTGGATTTATATACAATTACGAAACGTTTAGTAAATCGATGATAATTAATTTGGCAAATTAATTTGGCGGATAGATGATGAATGGTGAAACGATTTTCAATTAGCGGAGAGAAATTTGTATTTTATCGTTTGAACGTTTAAATTGCTGTAAATCATTTAACAAAACCTTGTTTTATAATCACGGTTTTTGGAAACGTACAAATCGATACAAATCTACGAATATTTCTCTATATATTCCCTTTACAATTTTATAGCTTTGATCGATTCGTGTTATGCATGTTTTTAAGTGAAGTTAAATAATATTTTTTAAAAGAAAGCATCTGAAATGTAGATTTATAAAAATATCTACACTTACGAAGGAAGAAGAGGAGAAAATTTCACACTAGAAGTCCAATTCCTTTCAAAAATTCCTTCCATCTGATATCGAATTCAAGTAGCCAAGCAGAACACCACCATTCTCCACTTGCATTGTTAATCAAACGCTTTCTTCCTCGGCGCGGCCCGCGTTGGAGTTAGAGTTACTTGAGGTTTCGAAGCTTTGGAATTATGTACTTAATACTTGGTACATGGAGAATTCGGCTCTGAAAGCGGATTAGTTCGCAAAGCTCTCGCGTTTCTCCGTAAAATGGGCGAAACGTTCACCAGTTGCATTCCTCCGCTATCGAAAAGAGAGACACTGTTCCACATGTTCCTCGTTACACGTGTAATCACGAGTAATCAACACGACACATTTTAACCAGAATCATCACCGTTTCAAAGTACGCCTTCTCTAAGTACGAAATCGAAGCAACAAGTTCAAGTGATTTGGATCGAATTGTCGATTCGTTTAAATTTCGTAAAACTTATGGTACTTTCGAGTGTTCCAGAATAGAAACGAGGAGTGCAATTGTTCTCGCGGAAAACGTCGAAGGGACTATTACAGTGGCGTGCTTCTCGACGTTTAATAGCTAACAGACGACGTGGAATTTCTTTCGTGCAGAGATAAGTCGTACATCCGGCAACAGTCGCTGTTTCTGTGACGTTTCTTGGGTGAAAAAGGTCGGGAAAGCGGGAGATTCAGGGTCAGAGCCGAGTATAAAAGCAGATATCACGGGGTTGATTAGCAGTGTCGCAATTAACGCGATAGACAAGCAGTTAAGAAGCGAATCGGACAATCATGAAGTGCTTGGTAAGGTTATTTGTATCTTTCTTCTTCCACTCGTATTTTTTAGGGAATAATTTCAAAGAAAAGAATTTCACGATTATACGACACGTACCAGCGATTCTTTTATGTTACAAAATCATTTATTTAATTTTAAAATATAAATGAAAAAGGTATCGATTTTATTTATACATTTATAATTCACTTCGATTCCAATTCCTTACACATTAGAGAGGTATTATTTGCTTGAAATTATCGGATAAAAAATACAATATTTTTTTGGAATTTCATATTCAGACCATCCTCGTAGCGATCGCTTCAGTTTGCTCAGCCGCTCCAAGCGGACTTCTCGCCCCATGGGCGGCTCTGACAGCCGCTAGTCACGCAGGAACAACGCTCCTCGCGGCGCCTGCTGTCGGCCCAGCGCTCGTCGCTGGCCCAGCGGCGCTTCTCGCGGGGCCCTCTGCTCTCCTCGCTGGACCCTTAGCCGCCCCAGCGCTCGTTGCTGGGCCGGCTGCTGGCGCGGCACTAGTTGCTGGACCAGCCGCTGGGCCGACGCTGGTCGCCGGCCCCTCTGCTGGACCAACAGTACTCAAAGGGGCATCGGCTGGGCCCACTCTTCTCTCTGGACCCGGACCCGTTCTTGGCAAGATTTTTTGAATAATAATAAGAAGATCGAATAAAGGAGACGATTAAAAATAACGAGTAAATAAATTTTCAGGACTCGCATCTCTACTCGCTAAAGCTCATTGACGAATAATAGAATCAATACCTCGTATCTGTAGTCTCTCGTCTTTCCCACTCAAGACTATGCGGAGAGATTATTTCAGATTATTCTAGATTATTATTATACGACACAGACACAGAGTATGGAGTTGTAAAGGTGTAAAAAGGAAACTTATTATTTTATTAATTATATGAAATAAATAATACTACATCTGTAATATTTGTACCTTAATTTTAGAAACAAATTGTTCCTGTTTGGATATAACTTAAAATATTCCGAATAATTTCCTCTTTCCCTTCAAGGTAAACGAATTCTTATCATCGAAGAAAGACTATATCATTCGTGACTTGTATTAATTGTAAATTAATACGATAAAATTGAAAGAGAAACACTCGTGGAACGAAAACGAAAATATCTTTACACAGCCCCCTTAAACACCTCTTTTAAGATTGGCGACAAATCTCGAAATTGGAAGCATTCGATTCGTCCCGCGCGAAAAAGGCACGTACGAATAATTTTGAATCGCAACCGTTCGATTCAGGACGCGTTTAGAGACAATTCCCATGAATCATGAATATTTCAACGCACACCTCTGCCAGGATGGCGGTAGGGCCCAAGTGCGGGAAGACGAAGGCAGAGCTGGCACCTGTGCACCATCGTCCCGATCGCCACGCGTTCGAAAAATCCTTCGGGGAAACCGGCTTCGTCTAACAATGCGTGGCAATTGTATAATCGGTTCACTGTCAAGTACGGCAATTGACAAGTGGAACTGTTCCATTTGAGATCGAGCCACTGTCGTTCTGTGCGAGCGGCACGGATTTTCTCTTCAAGGACCTGTAACGGTCCTCGACGAGCACGCGACGGATCTCGAAATGTCAAGTATGATAATCGATACGTATATATATCGAGTTTGACATTATTGTCGTGGAAAATACGCGGTTGGGTTTCTCCCTCCCGGGGAAAGGGAGGGGGAGTAATGGACGAGAGGATGCGAGAAAAGGAGATAAAGCGAAGATTTTTTTTTTTTCTCGTTCGATCAAAGTCGATTGATCGATGAAAGTGGATGGAGAAGGAATCGTGTAAAGGTGTAAGAGAGATAGATTAGTATTAATCGCGAGTGATTATTTATTATAAAATTTTTATGCAAATTAAAATGATCGAATTATCGTGCAATTTATGGGGAAGAATTAAACGGAGAATATGCAATTTTGATAAATAAATGTTTAATACGATAATGTTTAATAATAAATTGGTAAATTGTGAAAAAAGTATTCTTTTTCAGTATTACGGATTATATATAGAGAGAGGAGAGACAGAAAATAATGTAACTGGTATTAATGTGTCCATTATATATTCTTTCCAATATTAATGGATTTGTGCCTGCCTATTGTTAAATGCCTTTGAACGAAGCAAGGTTTTTTGAAAATGGAAATCACGTAATATTTAAAACAGTATTTTAATCGAAGTGATAAAGCATCTCTCGAAAGAGGGATTAAAAATCTCCATTTGAAAAATGGAAAATATCCATATTATAAAAATTAAAAGTAAGCATGAGTATTTTATTTTATTTCAAATTCTTAAAAGGGTATTAATTAAATGATTTAACGCGTAATAAATTTTGATGAGGCTTTCAGAAAAAAAATGGCCATAGATCAGGAGCATCCCTCCTCTATTCTCATTACCAATCTGCTTAAATCGAATCGACGATCATGGATCAAATATATTATGAACGTATCTATAAAACTATTCGAATTAATTAAACTTTATTTTATCCTTCGAACGCTTAACGGTACGTTCTGAGCGCAGACAATGAGATGCATACGATTAGCGGCAGTATGCGATATCAGCCGTGCACGTGCAGGGTTACCAAAGTGAGCAACGAACCATTCGCGTTTAATTCTCTGTTCGCGTGTTCGTACATATGTTTCAACGAGGGAAAACTGTATTTGCGCATATGTACGTTTTACCGCAACCGATGGTTAATATTAATGAAGTTAATTGTTTCGTCTAATTATAACACCCCGTGTTGTACAACAAAGAAACAAGAAACAAGTGAGAAAAATTTGAATCGAATCATCGAACGATTAATTAATTAATTTAGAAATACGATATTAATTTTGCGGCTTAATAGAACGAAGTAATCAAAGAGCATGATTATGAGAGAATTACGAAATTGATTAATTTACAACAATTATAGGAGAATATGTAAATGTTTCATAAAATTATGAATTTCGAATTTTGTTATGCGAATAATGATATAATTATAATTGTATCGTGGATTTATGTGCAATTAAGACACGTTCAAATAATTAATTAATGCGAAGAAAGTATTTATGCAAATTGTGTGCATACGCGAATATTATGTATGTATTTGTAAGGTATTAATTTTATTGTGTACATTTATTTACCATATATATTTTTTTTTCATCATAAATCGATATCATTTATCATTTATCATTTATCTTGTAGGTGACGAAGGTCGTTTTACATTCTAAGTTATATTTATAATACAATTCAAGTGACATATCTCCATTCTCTATGTTATTATTATGCATTTCTTTTATGAATGCTGAATTAACTGTTTTATTACAGGATTTTATCCTTTTATTGTTATTACGTATCTATTTATATTTTATCCAACATGTAATCTAACAATAATGTATAAGAATTTTCATTTTATTCAAAATTCTTTTCAAATTACCATTATAATTAAAACTTCCTGAATGAATGACTTTCTTAATTCTAAAATATTTTTATTCTTCGAACTTTGAACAAATCGATTAACATATTTAATTAAAAGTTCAAACAATAAAGAAATATCGATTATATCAATTCCTTGGGAACTCTTCAAACGGTATTTAACGGCTGCCGTTAAATTCAGCCAATTAAATGTCCCAATTTTTCGAGCAAAAATACGAGTATAAAATAATTTCACCGACTCACTTTAAAAATGTCAGGGGTCGGTCTGAAATATTCATCGTGAAATGCAAAAGTGATTCAGCCCAAGTGAGCTCTCCTCTCGTCGATAAATCTGTACCCTCCAAATGCATCCGTCGACTATTCTCGCCCGACCTACTCCCAATCCCCTCACCAAGAAATATTAATCAGAATTCCACCATTTCTACTACTAATAATCACCTGTAATATATCTTTCCCAAGGAAAGAATCGAACCATGTTCGTCCAGGATCGATCGAAAAATCTGTATACATTCGAATAGGAGCGGAAACTTGTCGATAACCGATACCCTTTTCGACAAAGAAGAGGAACGAGGAAGAAGAGGAGGAAGAAGAAGAAGAAGACGCTTGACGCTTGCGAATCGAGACGAATCTATTCGTGGAAAGGAGTAGTCGGTCTCACGAACTCGTCACAAAAGGTCCCAACTTTTCAATATCTATCCGAATCTTGGAATCCCCTCTGGGAATCAGGCGAAGCTGAATCCAAGCTTTCCAGCCCAGGGTTGAAAGGTCACGTAAACGGGCCAATCGCGGGTGGAAAGGGAAGTGGACGAATTCGATGGCCGAATTTCACTTCCATCCCCTTGCACGAACGAACGACCGTATAATGGAATAATAAAGTGACCCCTTTGGTCAATAGCAGGCCGCATTCGTGGAAAGGGCGATGTTGTTCAAATTGTTAAACAGCTTTGGGACTCATTAACACACTGGTTTAGATATTGAAATTGTTATTGGTTTAAAATCGATCGAAATGCGTTGCGGGGAGCGCATTAATGATTATTATTATGGTAACGAATTCGGGGGGAGGAGGGAAGAAAAGTTAGAGAGAAAAGTTAAATTGGTATTTCATTTGTAAAAATTAAATTGACGAACGTTTAATATTTTTGGATTAAAAAAAAAAAAAAAGTGTAGTTGGTTCCATTTTAGAATAACGAAGTTGATTGAAATGAAATCGAGCTCGTAGAGACGTTTAATATTTTCTGATAAAAATTGTGGCGGTGGTTCCATTTAAAATAACGAAGTTTCGGAATTTTTGAAACGTTTCCATTTATAAACATGCACTTCGTAATGTGCCATCAAGGTAACTACAGTAATTTGTGAACAAAATTTTTTTTTTTATATATCGTGCATAATTCTATTATTTCCAAAGAAAAAATTGCATGAAATGTCAGAAATAAATATCGAACGAACGGTATTCCTTATTTTAAATCAAACTTCCATTCCACTATTCTTTTTTTTTTCTGAATCTCAAATCTTGCTACGATAATTCGCTAATTCCTTTGCAAGATTTCCATTTAATGCAAGAACCGTACAGTCTTCCCATCATTGAAAATAAGAAAACGAGAATTAGGAAAATTAGCCACAAATAAGTGTTCGTTTCGAACCCTGTGCAAATTCACCGTGTGAAACAAGTTCCACCTGATCGGGAGGGTTGGTGTATACGTGACCAATCGTCGAGTCAACCACTCGCCACCTCGCCTCCCCCTAAATTTCTCCCTAAACAGCGGAGGTCCTCGTTCGAAGCAGCTCCAAAGTTTGCCCAATTATTCCATCAACGATGGAACTCTTCCCAAGTTTGGCGGGTTTGGCGTGGTTTGGCCGTAAATTCGAAACGGGACGGGCGCAAAGGCCTCGCGTGCCACGATTCTCCCCCTTGACTCGACAAATCTGACACGCGCAATTACGCCATTCCTGTCTGTGCGGGGGATTCAAAGGACGGATTACCGCGCGGCCATCGCGCGAAAATTGTTCGGCCTGGACTGCGGCCGAAAATAAAAGGGCGAAGCGGAACCACTCACCCTTCCCCACCTTCCCTTTTTCCCTGCTTTTGTTTTATTCGCGCGCGATCGACGCTCGTTTATTCTTTGCCACGGGAAAAATTCTTCGTGGGAACAATCGCCCGCGTTTCCGTGCATTTGTAGCTGGAAATTGATTTATCTCTGCCTTTCTTCGCGTTTCCCCATCTTCTTTTTACTTTAGGCGGTTAGTGGGTTGTTGTAAGTGATTAAAGAAAGAATACGAACGTTTCGATGATATGATAGAGAGATTCATTGATGAGTATTTTCTTTCAACTTGAATCTCTTTTAATGAATTTTTATTTTTCGTTTTCTTTTTTTGGTAATGATAAGTAGTAAATTGATAATGATGACGAGAGTATAGAAGAGTGAAATATAGATACAATTATAATTTTTATTAAATGATTGTGTAGTTAGTATAAAGTATGAAAGAAATAATACGTATATTGTGAAATTATATATTGATTTTAAATGGATAGAATTAAATGAAAATTTGTGATAATATAGAATTGTACTGTATGAAGCAATATTTAATCTTTCTAAAGATATAAAAGGAATTAAAATTTGCATGATTCCAATCCGTCAAAGAAAAAAAAAAAAACACGATTATTACGATTCATTATCACAAATATTCAATTTCATGTAAATTTTCTTCTTTCGCTTCACTTTTATAGCAGTATCCCAAAGAAACGAAATAAATTTAATGTACGTTTCACTCGTAAACAATTTTACGCCAGATTACAGATAATTAACTCAAAAGAGTTATCAAAATAAATAATAAATTATCCGCGTTACACGTATGAAGAGTTTCCCAGCTCATTATCATCTCGTTGAATTTATATACTCTCCATTGAATTTCAACTCGCGCGAACAAGCATACCCGTTGGTTACGAAACAAGGAAACCATCGAAACCATTCCATAAAAAGCATCATCGATTATTTTTTATTACAAGATGCAAACGCAAGTTCGAAATAAGAGAGAAAGAGAGAGAGAGGGAAAATTTTCGATTTTATCAACGTTTCGCCAAAACGGCATGGACGAAAGGACGAGAGCCATGATCAGCGGATTCAACCAACACGTGGCACGTTGTTGCTGACCAACAAGAAAATTCTATTTCCCTGACAACCAACAACCGTTATTGCGGTAACAGGCAGCGCTGTTCGAGGCTGGTGCACGTCTCCGCGTGATAACAATTCCCGTCCAACGTGTGACGTTGGACACGGAACTCCGGTGTCGCTTATCCGGTTGACCGCACCCTGCCTTCTTATTTCAACTTTCATTCGGGGTTGAAGGTTGCACAAGGCGATCTTGCCGATCAGTTTGGGTATATAAGGCGACGTGTCAGAGGGGTTGAGCATCAGTCACTAGCAAGCTAAAGACTAACCACAACGCAATCAATATGAAGTACACGGTGAGACATCATAAGAATTTTATATCATAGACCTTCTAATTTAATTGGTTGGTTTTCTCTGCAATATTTTACAATTACTTTCACTTGAATCCTACATCTTGAACTTGTCAAATTTTCAAACTACATGATGATGTAGTTGCTTAATCTTGAGATCAATATTGTATAGGACAGATTATTAATTCATACAAGTAATACTAAGCTTTCTGAAAAAAGAAACTAGATGGCACCAGTTTCCTTAATTCCTGCACAAAAATATTCCAACACCACTGACTCGAATCCCTCAAGAATATTTACCAATAATCTTTACCAATAATCTTACCAATAATCTGGAAAAATTAATCAATCCTGCCACTATCGTGTGATCCATGCACCATTATTAACCAAATTTTTCTGAAAATTGCAGATCGTCCTCGTCGCTGCCCTGGCCATGGCCTCAGCCAGCCCCGATCGCGAGCGTCGCTCCCTCGGCTGGGGACACAATGGAGCAGTGGTGTTAGGTGGTGTTTTACCCGCCTTGGCTCCTTCAGTGGCGGTCGTGGGGCCAGCTGCCCCAGCTGCGGCGGTCGTCGGCCCTGCTGCGCCAGCTGCGGCTGTGGTTGGACCAGCCGCCGGGTCCGCCGTGGTGGCTGGGCCAGCCGCTGGCCCCGCTGCGGTCGTTGGACCCGCCGCGGGTAAGTCTCTCCGATCAAATGTTCCTCTCGATTTCAAATGTTTAAACAATTCGTGCGAAGTTCGTCGACCTATGTAAATTAGGAAAGCAGCATCAAATATGATAAAACAATTTCGATCGATTTCGGTTTCCAGGTAATTAATACTCGCGAGAGATTAATTTGATTCGTGTTTAATGAGCGCGTTATTATGAATCTCATTCATGCCGAATACGTGATATATGGGCGAAGCAAGGCTTCAAAGGATGTTATTAATTTATTGTGGGATTGGATATTGAATAATGTAGGATTATGTTACAGGTTTGTGGTGAAAATTTAAGGATGTTGTATTAAAGAATCCGTATTCCTTTCCTTGGTAGGAGCAGCGGTCGTGGCTGGACCGGCAGGAGCGGTGGTGGCGCCAGCAGCGCATTGGTAGACCCCGGATTCGACCACCCCCTCCCCCACAGCTTAAGACAACTCGAACGATTTCTCTCGTGAACATGGAAACGGCTTCTCATCGACCTCCATCCGCGGGACTTGGATCAAAAAAAAAAAAAGCTCAACGTTGCTCCACATCGAATCGAAGACTCCGTAATTTGAATGAAATGGAACGAATTGTAACGACGATTATTCTTGCTTTCTTTTTCTTTTTTTTCTCTCTGTCTCTTTCTCTCTATTTCGTTCTCGAGACAAAGAAAAGATCTGCTCGATTCACGATTGACAACGTATCCGAGTTTCTCCGAGGTTCTTTCGCGTATAATTCCTTGTAATTATTATCCATATACACGTTACACGCTTTTGTATATTTAATAAATGAAGCTCCACTGTACTCTCTGAATAATTTTCCATTCCTTGAAATCGCGGAGATAAGTCGATATCTCGTTTAACCGAAGTTTAACGGTTTACTTGAGAAACCGTAAAAGTTGTCGGAACTTCTGTCGCCCCAGTTTCTAATTAGTTTGTTGAAAGCCGTTACCGTTATTCCTCCACCTATATCCACTGACAATAAAAGGACACGAGAAATAATGAATCCAGGATGAATTCGTCGAGCGGCCTTTTGAAACGATGTCTGAAGCTGGTGCTTTGAAACTGCGGTTTTAAAGCGCGAGTAATTTCTTTCGTTGCAATTTGGCTTTGTGTAAACTGTATATGGAAAAAATAAAAGCGAAAGATATACTTTTACACGTATTAATATTGGCAACAATGTTTCAGGTTTTGCCAACGAATAAAGAAGTTTGCCGTATTTATCTTTCAACAAAGGGATTTATTTATTGATGGATATTTAAGATGAATCGACGAAACAACTTAATTAATTAATACATTATTTAATTTGAAAGAGCAATGATGTACTTAGTAATTGTGCACAATTTGTTGTTTTCTATTTTTTAACAATTTTTTACTTGTATCTAATAAATGCAGATTATCGAGCTCGAAATATTAGAGATTTCTACATTGTTGGGCCAATAATGGTTGGTACACATTGTGTTTAATTATCACATTTCAATTACTTTTGACAGGAGGTTATTAACAAATCGATTCTTTCGACGAGTGTACGGATAATTAGCTAATTAGTCATCCAATTTGAACGTTTATAATATTATTAACACTCGGGCTGTACGTCACGAAATAATTTATGATGATAATTGAAAGATCAAACGATTGATATTTCGAATTAAAGGATGTTCTTTGAACAACATATTGATTAAATATCAGTAATAATGAAATTCATCACGAGTAATTAAATTGTTCGTATGCATAAATTATTTTATTTTTATGATCCATCCCGTTCACTACATACCGTTATCTTTATATTTTATCAAGAAATAAAATATGTTGATTAAATATTAATTAAATTTAATAGAAATTATCTGTGTATAACGTATCTCTAATTATTCTGTTTCATTGCAGGAATCGAAGGTTTCGAAGAGGATGCGACGAGAATTTATTTTTTAAAATAAAGTTTTATTATCTGATAATAAAATTTAAATTACAATAAGGGGAAGGGAATGTATAATTTTTCTGCAGAGCCGATTATGGATGATCGATTGCGGCCTAAAAGGGGATGTAACCGAATTCGAATTTTCCATAATGAGAAGAGCTTCCCATCATCGTTGTTTTGTTATAATACTTAAAGTCCAGTTACGCCAAGATGCTAAATAACGATTTACCATGCTTTCCACGGGCCTGGGGCGGCTACAACTGCTGCTGCAATATAGGTAATAACAAATTTTCTTAATAAATCTTCAACAATAGATCTCTCATGCTGTTCAAAAAATATTCGAAGAGTAATCAATCTAAATCAAAATTTAACGATCAAGATTTCAGCTAATATATTAACTTCTCTCAAGGCTCATTGCAAGATTAATAATATCACATACGTACAAACAACTAATAACGTATGATACTCGATATTGACGATATTATTAATGATAAAAATTCAACTAAACTTTTAATCAGTGACCAAAATTTTCAAAAATTTCTATCCAATAATATCCGGTTATAAATCGAGTTCTACACTGTACTGTAAAAATTCTATTTCGATATTAAACTAAGCGCAAGTTAAATCAAACTTTATCAATGATCGATGCAGAAGAAATACTTAAAATACTTACGCGCCGCGAGAAGTTTAGGAGCGGGTGCGAGAGCGATAGCAGGAGCGATTTTAGGGGCTGCGAGAGCAATAGTGGGTGCAAGAGGTACCGCTGCCAAGGCTGGGGCCGCGATGACCCCTCGGCGTTCCCTTTCTAGTTCGGGGAAGGCCGCCACAACGGCAACGATGGCGAAGAGGATTAACTGTAAATTGAACGAATTCTCTTGCAACATAATCTACGTTACATTACACTCGATTATTTATCCTCATTTACAACTTCGTTGTTGCAACGAATCTCCATCAAGGATTACCAATAATCAAGGGTGTTCGTAATAAAAACTTTTGTCCAAGTTATGAGTTACGTTTATGATAAAGTATACTGATAGAGAAATAATTGTGGAACGACAGTAATCTCAAGGATAACGTAAATTTACTAAACGATTGCCAATTAATAATTAAAGAAAACGTGAATCTGAGAGAGGTAAGAAGAAGAATGCCGAATTGTGTTTCCATTTCCATTTGGAAAAAAAATTGAAAATAGTCTCAGTATATAATCTTCCTTTACGAATTGCCCGATTAGAAGTTTCGCGGATATTCGATCTTACCAGGGATTTCATTTTGTGTTGATTTGCTTGAGCTTCTTAGAAGTCGAAATCGCAAGCGACTGATGAAAATCCACGTATCGAGTTTGTCTTTTATACTCTTATTTTCCAATCTATATATGTATACGTCTCACTCGTGTACGTCACGCTCAACCCTGTGCACGAATGTGTGTCAATCGCGTTTCAATGGTCTGGCTGTGTGTCGCGAGGCGGGCGTGGTCGGGACTAGAATCCCGTAAATCAAGACAACGATCTAAAACGATGAACTCGTACAGCGCCAATGTTGCATCAGAAATCTCGTTGTGAGCACGCAACGCGGCGCGAATGTTGCAGAAGTTTCGAGGCGGGAACGGGGCCATGGATATATTTGCATACCTCGTGTGTACGCTCGCTTATAGATATTACTTCTTTTTCTTTTTTTTTTTTTTTTTTTTTCTTTACATCATTCCAAACGTTTCTTTCCGTTTATCACGTGTGTTTACCAGCAGCGACCAATCATCGACCCCAATTCGAGAAGGAAGAGAGAGAGAGAGAGAGAAAGAGAGAAATCATAAATCGTTTTCGATTTAGGGTTCGACCGTGCAAGATGCAATCCGCGCGAGATGTTGCGAAATTGACTTTCAATTTTGCATTGGACGGCCTTGAATAGATAAACGGCCGATAGACTAAAAATGTCGAATCGCGATCGAACAGAGAAGCAGGAAACGATACCTTGAAAGTTGTTGTCGAAGCGGTTACGAAAGAGGGGCTTTTAAATAAGATATTTTTCTCAGACTGGTCCATTTTTCTCCTCCTTTACCCCGGTTTTTGTTATTTATTCGACGAGCGACACGGGGGATCGAATAATACGATTCGAGCTCTCGTTTGCGAAACTGCGAGCTTCCCTATTCCTTCGAACGATAACACACCTGTATCGCGTTGCCATCCTCCGAGCAACTGTTGAAACTGTTCGCTCTTGAGACCGTAGAAGATAGAAGGCTAAGCTGAGCGTAAAGAATAAACGAAGCTGGTCATTGCAGTAATAAATTCAAATTTATGTTTTATATTTTGATCGATCCACTTGTGTCTAATCTTATCCACTTGAGTCTCTGAGATAGATTGTAAACACGTACGATTTAACCTCGTTTTCACGATTGAAGTAAAAGTAAGAAATAAAGAAGAAGAAAAAACACTATGCTGTAATTTGCAATCTCAATTGAACAACTCATTCGATAACAATTTTCGAACAATTTATTTACGATACATCCTTACGAATCCTTAAAGATTTAAACAAATCGGCATCTCACATTTTGCATATTTTCACGCAGAGAGAAACACAAATGATCGATAATCTAATCGCGAAGCGAACCGTTCGAACGAAAATCATAAGATTTGCATCTTAATAATCGAAAGTGTCCGATCCGAATGAATGGAAAACTGGTCTCGAACACGCGGCAACTAACTTATAACACATGCGCACGTTGCATGCACGTTGCCGGTCTTTGTTCTGCTTTTCCGCCGAAGGAATTCCGCTAGAAATCTTTCCGATAGAAAAACAGGGCGCGGTGGCCATTTTTCCTTACTCATCATCATTATATATATAACGTATATAATACGCACACATGTATATGGAGTATATAAAACTGTTGAAGCCGGTCGGAAATGGATCAGTAGCCGACCGTGGATCGCGAGGAAAATTCTTGGAAGAATAGCAAGGGAAGAAAAAGAAGATTCGTCTAAGGAGACAGCCATGAAGTTGCCGGTAAGCTCGGAAACTTTATTGTAGATCGTCGAGAGGGGTACCTGTTACGAGATGAGAGAAAGAAAGAGAGAGAGAGAGAGAGAGAGAGAGAGAGAGAGAGAGAGAGAGGAATCCGTGCAGTAGTTCCTGATGAGAAAACTTTAATCTGTTAGCTCGTAATGCACTTTCGTGTCGCCCGTGAAATATGAACGGCTCCCCGTCTCTCTGACCAATGTTCCGTTGATATATAGAGCGGCACGGTGTTGGCTGGCAGTCGGATAATTGAAACGTATGGCCCCGTTTCTGTAACTTTGATCAAGATGGGTAATCCATTGATTCCGTTTAAATATCCGTCGGATTATTGTCACGGCACGGTTGATAATAACGTTGCGACTACGAGTGTACGACGACGGTGTAGTTTCATCGAGGGGGAGGAACGTAATATGAGAATATTTTCGAGAATATTTTCGAGAATGTTTGCCAGGGAATAAAGATTTGTCACGCACGCTTGGACATTTTTCATTAAACTTCTTCGCGAACATCTCCATGATAATCGCGATAAAAATTCTCGTCCCCTATGAAAAACTCTACGATGATGGGTTACGCGATAAATATCGTTGCAACGATTCGTTCAATTTCCAAGAAGATTTTGATATCGTTTAAACTTCTCAAACGATGATATCCTTCCTTCGGTGACCAGTTTCACGATTTCGAATTCCTCCCTGGGAGGAATCATTTTCTATACTCTATGATGACGCGTTCATCATAGAAAACTTTATCGAATCTCTCGGATATTGTTCTCGTATATCGCGTACGTATACGCGTGGACGAGCCACGAAACGAAGGATGGATCACGCGGTGGTTAAAAATCGGTTGATACATCGACGCGAAGAAAAAAATTGGTGGACGTTAGGTAACGGAATTGGTCGTTGGTTGGGTGCCATTTTCCACAGAATTGCGCGGATTGGATGGGTAATGTTCAAAGTTATTAACACGGGTGTGGTTTACTATTACGGGGGTGGGGAGAGGAGGGGATAATGGACTTCTCGAGTGTTAAACTTGAGAGAGAAGGAAGTGATATATCGAGGGGCCTAAATTCCTCGGGTGTTGGGCAAATGGAAGGTCAAAGTTCAAACTCTGATTCATTTAAACGGCTGATAGATTCGATGAGCAATGGAAGCGAAGGATATAATTGTATAACTCCTTCCCGAATATTCGAGATACGATGTCGAAAGTGTATCGTGGAGAAATGGGAATGAAAATGGGAGTGAACGTATCGTGAAATGTATTATTATTGTCGAGCATTATTATGCTTTTGATCTTTCATTTCTTTCGATCAATGATATTTTGTTGCGCAATAACAAATGATTTTATTTGTCGAATGCATCATTCTGTTTACTTCGTTTATCGTAATAATATCAAATTTCGCGGGAATTATTCGCACGTGTCTAACCACTCCAAGTGTTATCTCCTATCTAAAACTTTCCTATAGAAAAAAAAAATTAAGTCTACAAGAAACGAGCATTTCCATGCTCCGTGATTATAATTGTATTCACTCGTGCCGACGTTAACGAAAGATATCCGCGAGATATGGTTAACAAGAGAGGGACATTTATGGGGCGGAGATTAGGGCGAAAAGCATTTCAACCGTTATTGTGCCACGACACAACAGCCCACGTTGAAACGTTCGTTGAAAACTCGTCCCAATAAATCACGCCTCGTCCATTTTTCCAGCTTTTGCAGCTCGCGATATCGATTCTCTTAACTGTTCCCGCCAGCAGCTGGCCTTATCGCGGCACGGTGGGCGACAGAGAATCGACGGTGTTGGTCGGCCCGGTTTACGGACTGTCACCTGTGAGCCTGTTGCCCGCAAAACCGGAGCTTTTGGGGACGGTGATCCGTGGCCCTGCGACGGGAACCACGTTCGTCGAGGGATCCTCCTCCGGCCCCGTCACCATCGTGTCCCCTGGAACGCCCGCAAACGCACCCCGAACAACGCCATCCCCGGCGCAAAGTAATCCAACGATAAAAGATTTCGAGAATACGATTTCGCGGAAGTTTGGAGGAAATTCCATGGACGAATCCATCGACGGATTCAACGCTAATCGATTTACTTCGTTTAACCGAATCGACGACAGTATCGGCTCTTACACCGCGCACCTTTTATAGAGATACATAAAGCCAAGAATTTATGGGCAACCGGGTTTCTCCGCGGTATATTACGAATTTAATAGGTTCATAAATTCAAGCGCGTTCGAGGGAGCACGCGTAGCAGCCAGATTAACATAAATTCGCTCTTTTACCTTTTTCCGCTTTTAATTGCCTTTCTACTTTGTTGGAATAAGATATATATTCCGTGTTGCATACGGTATTACGCGCAATATATAAACAATATATAAAAACAAGGAAAATATATCGAGGAAGATTATCAAAAGATTCTCTCTCGTTTAATTGAAACACGATATAGAGAATTTCCAATCGTTTTAAAATTAAATTATCCGAAATTATTCTTTTATAAAAATACGTTATAAAACCACGCTTTGATTATTTCTCGCGGTATATCTATATCGTTGCATTTTTTCCAGCCGTCGTCTCAGGTGCGCCGGAAGATACGGTGCTCATTAAAGGAGCCTCGGCTGGGGCGGTGACGTTGGTGGCCCCGTCTGACAATTCTATCGCCAATAACGCGTCAGCCCAGGCTGAGGCGAAGAAAGGCGGCGGTGCAGCAGCGTCAGCTGCTGTTGCAATCGAAAATGCAGAAGAATCGTCGTCGCCGCCAATTAAGGAAACAATAGGCGTAGCGTCGGCGAACGCGGTGATAGGTCCCTCGACCGGGCCCATAATCATCGCCGGTCCAACTGCTCCCCCCCTACCTATTCCCGTTTCCACGTCCGAACAGCCAGTTGCTGCCACCGTTGTTGAGACGAATTCTCACGATTCTCTCAGCGTGACCTCCACCGCAACCGCCAATCTCTCAGTTTCCGGCTCGATAACGACTGTTGAACGAGCCGAGGATGAAGGGCCCGGTCTAGCGACAGGTGAGCAATTTTTCAGAGCGATAGAGCATAGATATGAAGTTGAATCTCGAGAGGAAAAACGGAATGTTTCGTAAACAATAGTATATTATAAAGTTTTATTAGTAAAATATATCATATTAGTAATATATCGATAAATTTCTCAAAACTTTTTGTTATCGACTGTTTGTTAATTGAAAATATCGTTTCTCGTTAGACAGAAGAGTAAAAGAATCGAATCTCTATCCTTGTTGCATGGAACACGATAACGATCGTTACATAAAACGGTCCAAAAAATCTCTCAAATATACCGTGCTATGTATTTAATAATTTGCACAAAAGTGAATGAATCTGCTCCTTTTTTTTTGCAAAGAAAATAATCAATCTTTCGTTGAATTCGATCGAAAATAAATCAAATCTCGTTTACATCTCATTTACATTTCTTAGATGCAAACATTCCAAGATCAACAATAATTGAATAACCGTTCCCTCGATATCGATATCCATGTATAATCGATCTATTTACAGATAGCACAGAATCAAGGAAGATCGAGGGTACGGCATCAAGCACGAGCACCGTGACGACCACTTCCGGGAGCATCACTACAGCATCCGCAACAGCGAGAGTTAATTTGATTTCACCAGCGTCTACGATCGCGGTCGGTCCCTTAAGTAACGTCGTCGTATCGCCGACGAAAGCATCGTCCGCGATAGTTTCCGGCCCCTTGGGTGCCGTTTCAACCGCAAGTGTATCTTCGCTGGATCAGATCAAGACGCCTCTTCATCCATTGTAGAGCAAACCGCGCATCCTCCCTTTACCTGGTACCTTGGTCTCGACTTGTCGAGTCGATCTACAAAATACCCACGATCAATTATTCCTATAGATCGTTTCTAAGGTGAGCGTTTTACATAGGCGCGATTTTTCATAGGCAAATGCACGCGTTGACATTGCGTTGGCGATCGACGAGGGGGAAGGATAACAAGGAGATCGACTTTGCATGCGACTTGGCATTGATGGCCGCCCAATACAATTCAATACAATGGAGAGATTATTATTTTTTTCTATCTTGTCCGAGCATAGTACTACGGATTTTTGTGTTGTAATAAAGACTTGCTAATATGGATAAGAAGCCTGATGTCCGTTTTTGTTTCTCTTCTTCCGAATATTTTCAACGAGACAATTGGGGGAATTGGATTAACAACGTTGATGCAATGTTACACTGCGTTTCAATTTTTAATAAGAAAGGGTAAAACGTGTTTTGTACATTGTTGTACAAACAGGAGAATAGTATAACAGTTTGACGAAGTTTATATTTATCACGTTTAGTTATCCGCGATTGGAGCAATCCGGTGGATCTGGCGCAATCTCCAGTTTGGGTTAAACAAGCCGAACCTTAACCATACGATTAAGCTTGAAACTCAATTATTGCTGTGCCGCTTTCACTAGGTAAACGAACTTATGGAATCGTATCGCTATGAACTTTTGCCACATGTAGTTGTACTCGTCTGTTTTTCCAGGCTTTTTCTTGGTCATTGCGATCGACGTATTTTGAATGATCGAAAGATGGAAATTCTTTTTTTTATTACTTTTAAAAAATTTTAAGAATGCAAGCTACGTTATAAGAGGATTCGAAGAATATCGTATAATTTATTCATTTATTCAATTTTTTAAACGAGGCAAAATTATAGCTAATAAAGATTATTTGAAAAATTGTTGTTTTCCATGGAAAAGAAAAATGCAAGAGGTATAACAAGTGTTGAGATATAACAAGTTGAGATCAATTTTAAATTTCCATAATCATTTGCAACTACGTATAAGATGTTAATAAAGTTTTATAAATGTTTCTTCTTAATTATATATTATATTTTTTTATCGCGAAAGAAACGGTAAAACTTCTTTGATTACCTAACATATTTACTATAAACTAAAAAAATTTGCAAATTAGTATTACCTACAATCTAATTAATTATTCATAATGTTGCTCGTTTCAAATGTAAAAATATGTTTCTAGATCAGGTAAGAAAACTTTCATTAATATTTATAAATATAGAATAGTTAACACCGTCGAAGAATAATTAGATTTTTAAAATAAAATCTTATTTTTCTTCGATATATCATCCTCAATACATCTCTCTTTAACACGAATTTTTTTTAACTTCACTTGCAGCCGATGCTGAACATGACTTTGGAAAAAGTAATTCTTTGAATCTCGAAAAAATTGAAATTGCAGATGAAGATTGAAAAGTGGAAAAGAAATTATATCTTCGAAATAATGTTTCTCAATTAACTTTTAAAGAGGAATATTACAAACATTTTACGCTATCGCGTATAAAATTATATTTATCATCAATTATGAGATATAACGCGATAACAAATATTGGAATCGACGTAAATCAAGAACAAGTCGACTCGTTTCGTTTAAATTGCAAATTCTCCCGATATTGAAACTTCTCGCATAACCATTACGCCTCTTTAATTTCAATTTATCACTTGGTCCATCTTCCACGAAGTGAACGACACATTTTATAGGTAGAAACTCGAGAAGTGCAAAATTTATGTACTTTTAGGCAGAATGGCGAAAAATAAAATAAGAAAAATTAATTTTCTTCCAATCAAATGACAAATAAAGAAACTTCGTCAGAAGATATTACTGTTCAAATATTACTTTTATAAGTACTCGATTATTCAAGTAATTCGAATGAAAATGGACAATGATAATACCATGCATACCTTTTTTTCATTTTTCACGATTTATTGGAACATATGAATAGTCATGAATCGATACTATACAACACGTATGGGAATTGGAGAAAAATTCGTAAGATGGAAATAAAATAAAACAGAAATATATCGAATTGGATATTGCCACGCGCTGACAACGCGATTTTATAATATTTGGAGTAACGAAAAGACACGCGTTCGCGTGTGATTTTTCGAAAATAAACAAGCAGTTTCGTGGAATGAATCAAAATAAAAGATTTATCGAACGGTTGGTTAAATGAAAATATATTTTTTCTGTTCGAATATTTTTTAAACGACGCATCCTATTGGAATATTGATTTCATAGCTGAATATTATTATTTTATCTTGGAGTAAATGTCTGTCGGGTAAAGGTATCTTAAAAAGAAATTCATTCAAAAAGAGAAATTTCTATTTTTTTAAATAAATTCTTTTTCAATAAAGTTTCAATAAATTTTTCGAGATACAATAGAATTTTACATTGAAAAATATTAAAATATTTTCTTACAAAAAAATTCTCATTCAAAATATGAAAACATATTGAAATTTCAGGAATTAATCTCATTCTTTTGAAGAGATTTTTTTCGCCAAAAAAACTTTCTATTCAAATAAAAATTTTCCAAAGTGAATTTTCCACTTTGGAAAATTAATTTAATTTAATTTTTCATGAGCAATTTTTCACTATGCATAACGAAGACATTCATTCAAAATATCATTTCACTTCACCGTGATTATTAGAGTAAAATTCTATATTCGAAATGGTAAATGATGGCACCATTAAACGTATTTTTCCACGGTTTTCTCTATTGAAAAGTGTGAAATGAATCGCGCATGAAAGCGTTTGTGAATCGAGATTACCATGACCCTGATATGAAATTCTACGATAGCCTAGAGGAACATCATGACTCGTTGCAATTTTACCATTCTCCTCCCCTCGTTAAATGAATGTTACACCTAGGATCATGGCCGGCTAAGTGAACAATACCTGATTCAACGAACGACATAAACATCCCTTACAGAATGGTGTCGTTTAATGAAACGAACGTAACAATGAGATCCTTTTGCCTCGCGTAACTATTTTCCATTTTATCCGTTCTACCCTTTTCTCCTATAAATCAACCAGCTCTTCCCGCGTTACATTGTGTGATCACGAACGATTGTTGAGGAGGAAAATTGAAATGTTAATTGAAACGAATGTTTGAAGAGTGATGGATGGAACAAATATGGAAGACGTTTCGATGAATTTTTTTGGTGTAATGGTATTAAAGATCAAGAAAATGGAAATGGAAGAAAAACGATCTTGTCTTTTTTATCTTTTTTATCATCTTGAATTCTTTAGTTAAAAGGAAAAGATATTATAGAACATTCTGCTCTAAGAGATTTAATCTTAGAATTAAATAGACAATTCATTCTTCCACATTGTTAAATCTTATTTCATTTCAAAATATAAGAGCAGTTTTTTCATTCCATGAATAACTTAAAAGTAACTTAAAAATAATTTAAAGACAATTTAAGATTAAATTTGTCTACTCTTTATTTGGTAATGCATCTTCTTATATTATTTATATTATTGAGAAGAATTTTTCCATCCAATCTCCAATCAATTTCTCGTTATCAGATTATCATTTACTTTTCAAACTGGAAAAAGAACATACATATTACACTCACATTATTTCTTTCATTGTGTGAGTAACGAATTCTCTACGCTCCTCCATAAATTTTAAAAAATCTAACATACTTCCTTGTTCCAGATTCCTCTCTCGACGCGGAACTCATCGAAATCTACTATTCGTCGAAAAAAAAAAAGAAAGAAAAAGCCAATTATATATGACACGTTGAATCGAAACAGTAACGTCACTCCTCGAAAACGTTTATCGGTGGAACGAGGTGACAATAGCGCGACGGAAATTAATTCGACATTGCCAGTCGACACCAGTTTCATCCCCCCCTTCTTCTCGTCCAATCGGCATGTTGCATCGTGCGAATACGGGACTGCGAGGGAGGACAATGAATCCCGATAAACGGGGCAATTTTACGGTAACACGGAGAAAAACATCGGGGGCGCCGCACGCTGGTAATTCTCGTAATGGCGTAACACGCTCCAGGGGGAGGGGGAGGGTTGGATTCACTTTGCACTAATGCACACCGATCTACGACAAAGCCAGCCTCGAGGATCCCGAAAATAATAATAGGGTTTTTATCGCGTTAAAGTCAGCTTTGTTGCAATTAATAGAATAATATCCAGCACACGGACGTGATGTTTCATCAATAGTGATGGAAGTGTGCTTATATATCGTAATAAAATATTCATTTTATTCTGTGACGTTTGATTCTCGTGGCATTTATTTGCCTCGTTTTGAAACAAGGTTTTTCAATTGTAAATGGTTTCATATCGGAATGAAAGTTATTTAATTATGAATAAGTCTTTTTTAGTTAGTAATTAAAAGAGGGTGAGAAAAGTATATTTTTATATTTAGAATTATAAATGAGAAACGAAACGATAATAATTTTTAATTATCCATTTTTCGGCTCGTAATTGTTTAAAAAAACAATTTGCTTGGTTTACAATATATTTTCGAATAAAAACGTGAAAATATAATGTTACTTTTAAAATATTAAAAATAATTCGATTTAACATTCTATGGGATATGATTGCTGCCATTACTATACATCGATATTAATGACCGAAGTTCAGTGTTCGATACTTAACGATTGGACAACCATATTAATGGACCAAGTTTTCGAAACGATAGGAACAAATTTAAGAGAGGAATAAATTTTGACAGTGAGAAAAGAGGATTTTGATGGATGGGAATTTTTCGATACGGAATGGAATTTCTAAAGGAAACCAGAAAGAGGAGCGTGATTTCCGCCTGACGTGATGCACCTCGGTGAATGCAGTGAATTTCTAAGTATCCTTCTCTCTTTCTCTATTATCGCTGCGATAATAAATCGCTGTCGAATCGACTAAACGAGAAACGACTTTAAACATCATTGTTCTCTTCGAAACGAGGATATTCTCTACGATTGACAACTTCTGTCCATATCCTGGGAAACTTCTTTAAAACAAGGTACGGTTAATTATACGAATTCGATCTAGAAATAGACAATCTTATACGTACCAATCTTCAATATTTAATTCGTAATTTATATGTAATATATAATAACGTTTTCTAGCCAATGAATCGAAAATACAGCATCGTTTGCCGCTAGATGTCTCTGTTACGAATACAAGAATCACAAGGATCACTTTTCTTTCTATTTCTCGTGCTCAACGATATGTGTTAAACGTAATTAACACGACACCTTGGCTGACTCGTGTCCACGCTATCTACCCTTTGAAACTCGTTAACTAGTTTTTTCTTTCTTTCTTTTCTTTTCTTTTTATCG